GCAGGAGATAACGGAAGGCTCCAGATTCCTGTGCATGCAGAGATAACCTGTGGGAAGGCCTGGCCCAGGACTCAACTCTTAGAACTTCCGGAGGCATCAGCCTCCTTCTCCCAATGGTATCGTGCCAACCATGTTTCTAAATGGTAATCACCAGGGCCACGGACATCAGTCCTCACATACAACTGCCAGATGTCACCAACATGCATGCACACACAACCATCAAAATGGGCTGTTTTTGCACAACATTTCCTGATGGCAGATGGTCAGCTCCAAAGTCCAGATTCTTCCTAGTACACTGTGGTCCCCTAGATGGGACTATATACTTAGTCTGCCCCAACTCAGGTGTGAGTTCCTGCTGGTTTTTTTTTTTTTCTACTTTTGGTGGGACCCTTGTTATGGGCAGCTATTCCCTGTGGGACAAAGCATGAGAAGGAGGAAGGGCAATTTAGGCAGATTCACAAGATTTTTTAAGTTGTGTTCAGCCCCGAAGGAAATCTTCTTCCTGCCCTCACTGACAGGCAGATGCTCTTCACTCTGGCTTCGCAAGAAAAAGAAAAAGTATAGTAGCTCTGTTACTTTTAAGAGCCTCCATCCGAGTCATGAAATCATCTGTCAAGACAACTAAACTTTTATGCTTCTATTCTGGCAAGAGCCCTTATAAATGAGGACATTGCTGATTGCTAGTGATATTTTTTGAGCAAACACACTTAGGGGTATGGATGAAAGCCAACTGAAGGTCAAATGATTTGTGGATGTAATGTCTCCTTACTCAGATGTCATTAGAAGCTTTCAGGGTAAAAGAAAATCTAGATTTCCATCTCAGTTGCTGTCCATTTCCACCATGAATGAGTGTGTTTTTCTTTTCAGACAGAATTCTATCTAAAAAAACAGAACCAGTAAAAGAAACTGGCCCCACGAGAGGATACAAGGCATTCATGGAGAATGGAATTAAAAGTTACTGTGCATTTTTCCATAAACATTTTAAAGCCAGGTATATCCAGTATCTATGCCAGTGTGGGAACTGGCAAGTCTAACACCCTGAGATAGGGTAGCAGGTTGGAAAGCTTCAGAGAAGAGCTGCCATTGCAATCCCCAGGTGAAATCTCCTCTTCCTCAGGGAAATCTTGGATGCTATTCGTAAGGCGTTCCACTGAGTGAATCGGGCCCACAGAGATTGTGGGGGTAATCTCCCCGACTTAAAATCAACTGATTATAGGCATTCACGGAATCCACACAGTAGTTTCACAGCAAGATCCATGTTGGATTGCATAACCAGACACCCTAGCCTCACCAAATTGACACAGAAAGTTAACCTCACAGCAACGTAGCCACGAAACTCTGTTGTTGTTCTCCAGATTGCTGTTAGGGATGGTGGTAGAAAAGCATGTCAGCCATTCTCAGGATCACCCAACAAAAGGTCCCTGTTGGGTGACAACACCACATGACAAAATGTCAGTGGCTAGCGCCTCACTACGAAGCTACCAATAAGCCTACTGGTCCCGCCCAAAAGACAGGACCAGACAGTGGTAGGTGGAAACTTCTGGCTACAGTGGCAGAGGTGGCTCGGACCTTGTGACCGATCAGTTTCCTATTGCTATGTAATAAATCATTCTAAAATTCAGTGGTTGAAAATAACAGCAAGTATTCATTCTCCTCATGGATGTTCAATTTGGGCAAGACTTGGTGGGAAAGGCTCACTAAACTTCACATGGCATCAGCTGGGGCTGTTCCATAGGACATGGACGGTTCACTTCCAGGATGGCTCAGTCATGTGACTAACAAGTTAGGGCTGGCTTTCAGCTAAGGGCCTCAGCATAGGACAAGCTGGAGGTCTGGGATTCTCCCCACATGAGGCGCTCCATGTGTGGCCTGGGCTTCCTCAGGACATGGTGACAAGCACTCAGCGAAAGACTGAATCAGCAGCTGTACACCTTTTGTGGCCTAGGTTCAAAGTCAAGCAGCATCCTCCAGAAGACATGCTATTCCCCAGAAATGAGTCATTGTTGAAGCCAGTCCCAGGCCCAGGGATTAGAGTTAGGCTCTGCCTTTGGCAGGAGGAATGTCAAAGCATTCACAAATATTTTCTTAGAACCAGCTTAACAAATGATCCTTATTTGGCCGCCCTCATGTTGCATTCTATTAATGACACCTTTTTCATCAGCCACCTGACTCATTCAGCCAGTCACCTTGACCTTGGCCTCTTATTCTTCATCTCACACCTGGACTAGAACGTCACCCTAGGTGACCTTTCTGCCTCCACTCTTTCCTCTTGTGACATTTAGGATTAGGTTCAGCTGCATGGGACAACAAATCCAAAGAAACAGTAACTTAAATAAGATCAAATTACATTCTTATCTTTTAATTCAATTCTTTAATAACTTTATAAATAACTTTATAAACTTCATACTTCTCTTCTGCATGCAATCCAGCTATCCAGGGCTGAGACCGTGACTATGATTGTGAGAATCCAAGCTACTTTCACTCTTCTGTAAACTCAGATCCAAGGTAGTTGCCTAAGCACCAACCATCACTTCCACATTCCAGCTGTGAAGAAATGAATGAAGGATGCTACACCCTACTTCTTGAAAGACCTTTCCCAGAAATTTCTACTTAATACTTAATCACATTAACACACCTAGCTGCAAAGGAAGCTGGAAACAAAATCTTTATTAAGCCATATGCTAAAATTCAGCGATCAGTAACTAAATCTCCACAAAGTTCTCTGAATCAGTTTCCTAAAATGTGTAGCTTAGCATAAAACATGTATCTGCTGAAAGCTTGCAATGGTCCCCTCTCCCTCCTGGATTCAAATTGAGATTCCTTAAAATGACTTTAGGTTCTTCCTTCCCGAGCTCTTCCTCCCCACTTGCGCCACTGATACTGTAGCTTCAGGGACTGCTAACTTACCTCTAGTTTCCAGCATGTTTTCTCTCATCTCAAGGTGCCACATAGACGTATACTATTCCTGCTGAATGAGATACTCTTCCCCCCACTCTGCAAGCTCACTTTAACCAGGGTTCAGGCATCTGCCCCGATTTCAGCATCTCTTAAGAAGTCCTTTAGGGCCCCCACGAAAAATATCTTGGAATGTTTTAAAGTTGGAACGCGGCAAAATGTGCTTTTAGATCCAAGAAAATGCTTGACTACACAACAGTAACCTATTTGTGCCGTTACAGTTGCAAAATACAGCTTTCATGTTTTTCACAGTGGGAGGAACCCACAAAGGCAAAGGCCTGTAGACCCCAGGGGAGCTGTGTTGTGGCCCCACTCCCATGCACGACCCCAGTGCCCACTGAGTCACAGCTCATCCTGTGCTGCCTTACAGCTAGTGGATGCCTAATGACGTCCCCCAGCTGACAGGTTCCCTGGAGGGGATGCTACAGTTTGGGCCCCATGCTGTGTCTGCAAACACAGTCTGGTAGGCGATCTGCAAACATTGGTGGGTAAACAAAAGGAGTGAATGACTGAATGTGTGTCCAGACAAATCTAACATCCACATGGCATGATGTGATCATGTCATGCCTAGTAAATATCAGGATGTAGATTCGCCTAGGGGTCTGCCTCCCTCTCATTTGGTGCAGTGTCATGGTTCCAGCTAGGGATATGTGACTCAGAGGAACTCAGTGTTTGTAAAATGCATTGTTGCCATCTGTAAAATGGAGCAACAACGGCTTCTGGTAAGGAATCAATGAATAAATACACTTTTTGCAAAAGGCTTAGAGCTGTCCTCTGGTGTAGCTAACCACTCAATTCTTGTTATTTATTGTTTTGTTATGGTCAGTTAGCATCCTGCTTCTCCCAGATAGTTTCATTTAAAAACTGGCTCTTTTTTAAAAAAAAAAAAAAAAAAAAAAAAAAGCTTCTTTATTTGAAAGAGAGAGAGAGAGAGAAAGAGACCTTCCATCCATTCGTTCATTCCCCAGATGCCTACAACAGCCAGAGCTGGGTCGTACCAAAAGCAGCCAGGAACTCTCTATCTAGGTCTGCCATATGGGTGGCAGGGGCCAAGCACCAGAGCCATCATCTGCAGCTCTCCCAGGAACATTAGCAGGGACCTGGGTGCCAGCAATACAGGTAGTGCCTTAATCTACTAAGCCACAACATGGATCCCTAAGAACTGGATCTTGGAATAGGAAAGAAGGAATTGCTTACTCCCCCGATCTTCAACAATCAGCTTCTTGGATGGAGTTTCAAGTTGTGTCGAACGACACTACCAGAAGCAAAGTTTTCCCACAGCCTCAGATCAGCTTCCCTACTGAATGGGGTCAAGGGGCCCTATTCTTGAGGAAAAGACATGGCAAGTAAATTCTAGACCACTGGGTTCAAATCCTGAATTTAGCCCTTCCAATCACTACCCTACATTGGGCAAACTTCCAATTCTTCAGTTGTACCTGAGACGCACAACAGCACAACCCTGTCAGGTACTGGGGAGGAGTAACTGAACCGCCTCTTTGTCGACTGCACCTGTGGCTACAGTGACCCAAGTCAGTTGCCCAAGGTCACACAGCTGGTAGGAGGAGATACAGGGTGGGCTCCAGGAGAATGGCCGCAGGGCCCGGTTCTGCCCAGTCTCTACTTGCTTATTGGTAGGTCCTGTTTGCATGTGATGCTTGAGGCATGGGCTGGAATGTATTGGAAAATCAGTCTTAGATGCGCATCTGTTTTATCCCAAGAAGCACAGAGGAGCTGGCACAGCGCATCCTGGTTGTGAGACCAGAGAGACCTGGGGAAAGCAATGGTGACATGGCATGGCCTTCCATCTAATTCAGCCTACTACACACGAAGAGGTGCAGTGAATATTGTAGATGGAGGATCGCCAAGGTCCCAGCCATTTGCTGGGAGGGTACACCTTCCGACCTCTCCTCCCTGCACAGCACCCTCCCCCAGCAGTAGGACATGCTCCTGCCCCTTCTGGCTGTCCCCCTACCCTGTCCCTCAAGGACTCAGCATTCACCCTTCCTCCCCCATCCCTGGGGTCTTCCTGCACCTTATGCCCACAGGGCCTGGCCAGCCCCCTCCTGCGCTGCCCATCACAGCGACTGCTGGACCGCGTGGTGCGGCGATATGCTGAGGTGGCCGACGCTGGCAGCATTTTCATGGACCACTTCACAGAGCGCGACAAACTGCGTCTACTCTACACGCTGGCTGTCAACACGCATCCCATCCTCCTCCAGGTAAGCACGCGTGTGCGGCCACCTCCCCAGCCTTCTGGATACAGGAAAAGTGAGAGGTAGGAGCAGGAAAAATGGGAAAGGTAGAGACAGAGACGAAGAAGGAAGAAGCAGAAAGAAAAAGAGCGCAGGTAGATGAGAAAAAAAGTCACAGCAAAGACAACTGATGACCATTGGCCAGCGGGATGACAGCCCAGGCACAGCTCTCAACCCCGGAGCACCTGCTGCGTGCTGGGCATCACTGGACAGTGCTTATAGCACCCCCACACACAGGGTTATTATTCATACTCTTTTGCATATGAAGCAAGTAGGACTCCGAGAGAAGTGGCTTAACCCAAGTCAGTGTCAGTGATAGAACTCACATCCAGGACCCAGCAAAATGGCTCAATTGGCTAATCCTACTCCTTCAAGCACCAGGATTACATATGGGTACCCATTCATGTCCTAGCTGCTACACTTCCCATCCAGTTCCCTGCTTGTGGCCTGGGAAAGCAGTAGAGAATGGCCCAAAGCCTTGGGACCCTGCACCTGCATTGGATACATCGAAGAGGCTCCTGGCTTCAGATTGGCTCAGATCTGTCAGTTTTACCCACTTATGGCATGAACAAGTGGATAGAAGGTCTTTCTCTCTGTCTCTCCTTCCCTCTGTGGATCTGCCTTTCCAATAAAAATAAATAAGTCTTTAAAAAAAAAAATAGGAACCCAAGTCCAGTACTATCTGACTTTACAGGCCAAGGTCTTTCCACTAAAACCTGCCTAGTCACTTTGGCATTGGGAAGAAGACGGGGTTGCTGGGTGTGCTACACTCATCATTCTCATCTTGGCTGATGGCCATGGTGGACCACAACTTATTCCTCCTCCTCCTCCTCCTGACAGACCTTGGCTGAGATCTTCCCTTTAAGGCCAGGTACCGCCCAGGAAAGGCATGGAACGGAGCCCGGAAATAGCCTGGGACTTCCCTAGGGAGAGGGGAGTCTTCCTAAAGTTGGTGGGAAATTCCTGCTAGGAAAAACATTCAGCATGGACTTGTACCAAAACAAACATATCACTGAAGTCCTGCTTCCTACTGCAGTTGTGAAGTCCCCTTGTCATAGCAAGGCTCCCCTCTGGGCAGAGAAAATTTGAAGACCACATGGGCATGACCTCTTCACAATATCAGGGAGCTCCCTATGTCAAAAGCCACAGAAATTCATGACACGCAAGGATGCTTTGGGATTTCTTTTTTAAGAAGTGAAATAAGGGGTGGAGGGTCCAAGTAACACCGTTTTAGATCAATAAACAGTCGAGTAAAAGGCCAGCGGCCAGCATGATCTCCTCCCCCTCTTTTTTTTTTTTAACAACTTATTATTTTCATTGGAAAAGTAGATTTTCAAAAAGAGTGACAAAGAGAGAGATCTTCCACCCACTGATTCACTCTCCAAACGGCCACAAGCCAGGAGCCAGGGGTGTCTTCCAGGGTCTCCCATGTGGACACAGGGTCCCAAGGCTTTGGCCCATCCTCCACAGCTGGATGGGAAGTACCACAGCCAGGACACGAACGGTACCCGTTTGGGTTGCTGTCACTTGCAAGGGGAGGGTAACCCAATTTTGCCAGGCCCTCCTCTTCTTTCTCTTTTGGATTTCTCAAATCCACAAGGTTGGAGATGTTACAGGGAGACAGAAGAGGGAGGTTGGAGCTGTGCCCTTCCCTCTGCCGGTGTTAGGCTGTGTGGGAAATTCCAGACAGTTACCCCACCAGGCACATTCCTCCAGTGCTGGCAGGAGAGACACCCAAGGCAGGGGCACAGCTGTCCCAAACTTCAGTCACCCCACAGGGATTGCCCTAGCTCAGAACCAAGTACCTACACTGTTAGTTGTGGAAATTTTTTTCTATAAATTAGCTTTCAGTTGACCTTCCATTGTCTCTACGGTAGCTCCCTCCTAAACATCTCAGAGACTAGTCATGTTTTCCAGCTGCACAACTCTTAAACACAGGGACAGTCTGACCCAGTCCATTGGCATCCTCGTACCCTGCCTTGAAATAATCATGTCACAGTGCAGCTCACATCAGAGAAGTGACGGCCATGTGCTATTTGCAATCTTTCCATTAACGGTGGGATAAGAGAGTGGCAGGGGTGAGGGCAGGCATATTGTCGTGTACCAAGAAATATCAAAAGGTTGGACAGATACTTGACTAAGTATTTTGGAATGGAGGATGCCTGCGCAAGCTGATCTTTCTGTGTGCTCTTGGTGACCAAGGAAATGAGGATGAGAGAAAGGGCTGAATCCTCCTGAGATGTTTCTCTCTGATTCTCTAATGCCTCCCTCTTCTGGCTTGGCAGATCTTTCCTGGGGCTGAGGGATGGCCGCTGCCCAAGTACCTGGGCTCCTGTGGCAGGTTCCTGGTCAGCACCAGCACCAGACCACTACAGGAATTCTTCAGCGCACCCCCGGATCAGGCAGCCGACCTCGCTTATCAGCTCCTTGGCGTCCTGGAGTCTCTGAGGAGCAATGATCTGAACTATTTCTTTTACTTCACTCGTGTTGACGCAGGCATGTTTGGCATCTTTACCAACGGGCATCTGTTCATCCGGGATGCCAGCGCACTGGGCGTCATCGACAAGCAGGAAGGTACTCAGCATGGGCCTGGCTGAGCAGCTGTCAGCAAGGAAGTGAGGGTGACAGCAACTAGGGAGGGATGGCCCGGGTTCACCCTCTCGGGCCTTTGCAGTTTCAGCCTCATGATGACAGTAACCAAAGTTTGGCAAATGTTGGATGTTGTATGCAGCATGCCTCATCCCCACTTAAACTGGTTCCAGCTCCCTCTCTTCAAAGAGGAAATGGACATGATGTGGTTCATTAAGGGTATTGTTCCATGTGACACAGCCCTGGCTCCCAGGGTAGTGCTTGTTGTCCAACTGGGTCTGTGTGGCTCAGGGATCTCCTTTGACATTCATCCCACACACACAACTCCCCAAGCCATGTCCCCCTCAGTGCCTTTTTTATCAGATGCTTTTAGCTTTGATCTAAAACTTGAATATCTGGCTGATTCTTTGGTATGTTTTGCAATACATTTTGGCACATTTTGTTTTTAAAAAACACAGAACCAAGTGAGATATATGAGCGAATCTTGGTTTTGTGGGTTTTTTTGTTTGTTTGATTTTGTTTTTGTTTTTGCTATATGCTGAAGGCCCACCCAGCATTCTAGAACTCTTTGAACATTCCACTCTGTAACATGACCAAATTTTCTGAGCACCATAAGACAAAAGATTGTTTTTTCCAATTTCTGATTCTGTTTACACAAAAGAAAACCTACAGAGAAATGAAACCACGCTTATTCATTTCCTGATTTACTTTTATTAAAAAGAATCAAATTTAAAAAGTGGGACTAATTCCAGAATATTCAGGATATGTCAATAGCTGAATGTCGCTCTCTCTCTCCAACGCTTTGAAGGCTTATTCTGATTGCCTATTTTTTTTTTCTGCTTTGTATTTTAAAAAGGCAAAATGAAACCAGTGCTCATCATCTCCTGAGCGCCATAATTCAGTCCTAATGGCAGCACAGCTCTAGCCATGTGACCAACTGCCATTCCAAACCCAGCTTTCAGAAAGAATAAGTGGGTTGTGCTCGCTTGAGCACCTTGAGCATCTTGCTTGAGCAGCAGAGAGCACCTTGTGGGTTCGTTGTCAGAAGGAACCTCTATGTCCTTGAACCCTAAATCTCCTGGGAACAAGCAAACGCTAGGAGACTTACTGTGCCCAGTCAGTCTCATGACCAATGACTACCCCGCAAGGGGGACACCTTGCAAGGTGCGTGATATTTTCCGTTTCTCTCTCAGGGAGTTACACCACCTTCAAGACAGCAGACAATAAGGACATTTTCAGCTGCTTAGTGTCTGGTTGCCAGACCCAGCTGCCCTCCTGTGACATGGTCCCCGAGAAGCAGAGCCTGGTGCTGGTGTGTCGGCAGCTGCTACCTCGACTTCTCCAAGGGCGATTCCACTCCCCAGTGCAAGAAGAGATAGACTCTGCTCTGGCTCAGTGTGGGGAGGACACCCGCTCAGACCTTGAAGTTCTTGAGGCTGCCAGTCGTCTGAAAGCCATGTTGAGACCTCTGAGAACCTGTGACCCCAGATTTGCCTACCGATACCCAGACTGCAAGTACAACGAGAAGTTCTGAGGGGCTTGAGCCCCTACAGCCTTGGGGAAGCACGCACTTGGAGCTCTGCTGCCCTGCTTGGGCTGCTGCAAGGCTGAAGGCAGCAGTTCTGTTGTCAACACTGGGCAAAGTGCGCATTTCACTTCCTGCTGAGAACTGAGCAACCTGAACTACAAGCGTGGAGCAATGTGACACTACCCGATTGTCCCCGACTGGCTGCCCCCATCACAGCAGCACTGAGGGGTGGGCATCTGAAGACCATAGTTGCTGTCTTTGAGCCTCGGTTTCTTCTATTCCCCATCAGATTCTGTGTACGTGAAAAAGACAGAGATGTGAGAAGCCTGGAACACATGCTCCTTACTGCCCGGAATGTTCCAGAAATGTACATAAAAGTGGAGCCACATAGGTCAAGAGGCTGATGTAGAGGGGGAAAGCAGAGCCACACGAAGACTCCCAGCTACTGGCACCTTAGTATTGGGCAAGAGGGGCCATCTTCCCATTCCACATATGCTGTGCCATATTGCCCATGCTATCACTGAGCAGGGAGGCTGCAGACCAAGGCACATATTACAGCTCACTTCTGAGCCACATTCTGAGGGATCTCCCATCATGGGAAGGAGCAGAGGTAAGAAAGAGGGTGGTGGAGCAGCCAAAACCCATGTGTGAGTTCAGGTGCTCCAAGAAGCAAGGTTAGGCTAGAATTAGCTATAAGGGATGCCTGTGTGAATGGGGAGGAAGGGAAAGCTGAGAAGGCAGGACCCTGTAGGTCTGCAACAAGTCTGACCTGGGAAATGAGCTGATTCAGCTGCCTTCCGCAGGCTGCTGGGATGTCCACAGGGTAAAGCCATCTGAGGAGCCCTGGGTCTCCCACCAGTAGATCCCTGCCCCGATAGTATCTTGGCTGTACCCAATCATTGATGGGTATGAACCTTAGCCCTAGCCCAATGGCAAAGATGGATTTCAGAGCAAAGTGCCAGGGCACTGAAGGAAGTCCATGAGCGGGACGGCATTCCTGGTGTGGCCACAGCCAGGGACCAGAACTCACAGGCCACCAAGAACTTTCATTTCAACTTGACTTTCTAAGTCACTCAAAATGCCTCTTTTCAGGGGCAGCCGATAGAATATATTGTACTCATCAGTGGATTGGAGTGACTTACGTCTGTGTGGTTCTCCCTCCATGTAGATTGGCAGTCCAACCCCTCAAACACTGGCAGGGACTCTTCTGGATTTTTGGCCCAGGCTGCCCGACCACCCTCTCCCCACAGGGACTTCTCACCATTCTACCTCTGAATCACCACCTTGAAGGTCAGAACCTATGACTTAATAAGCCTCACCACGCACATGGGGGAAACTGAGACTCCAGGCCAGGATGGTTCCAGGTCTCTGGCTCCCTATCCACACTCCTCTTGTTTCCTTCCTATTTGGCCTCTGATGTGCGCCTTGTACTCCTCAGTTCTGGTCCCTTCACTCACATTTTAAAATAGGCCAATCCCTCCCTCTGGAAGTTCTTATTTTGTGGTATGTTAATTAGTTGTCTTGGGGGTTGTGACCTGACCACCATGACACTATCCCAGGGCAACCAAGTCAGCGAGAGGGACAGTGGAAGGGCAGGCTCAGGCTGTCTTCTGGCTCACTCCAGAAGGTGAAGAATGAGCCTACTCCCTTCCCACCAGCACCCAGCAGAGTCCTGGTCCCTCCCCAGCCGGTGCCTGAGCAGAGCCATGGAAGAGACCACTAGACCCGGTAGAGTGCCACTGACAACTCAGCAGTGGCACCAGCCAGGCCCCAGTCCAGCACTCTGGAATCGCAGGGGTTTTTTGCTCCATCAAAGGCTTCCAGTTCCCGTAGGGGGTGAGGGGGGAGAAGTTCCACAGGAGGGATACCTTTGAATGAGGCTCTCCGTGACGCCTGTGTGGGGCCAGCATGGGGGATCTGAGCTAACTTTCTCTGAGTTGTTCCTCACCTGGCTGCACCCTGCATAAGTGCCAGGTGGGCACCTGCCTCCTCCTACCTTCCAGAATCCCATCACCTGAGACACCAAGGAATGTGCCTTGCAGCTCATCCTGTCACTTTTGGAATGTGCTGAGCACTGGCAGAAAACCTGATCCCAGCGACTCTTTCCAGAATCAAGAGGAAGAAATCTGGTTCCCCTCCTCCCAGAACAAAGAACAGAAGCACTCAGGTGTAGCCTCAGGGGCTGCTGGGACATTTGTTTGGGGTACCATGCATGACAAACTGTGTGGGAAGGCAGGTTAGACTGGTCCTATAGATGCATTAGAAAGATCTAGAAATGACACCCAATCCAAAGGATTTCCCAAAACTCAGGAAGTTGCTGTGTCCCTTTGTTCGCACACTTTCACCACAGGAAAGGCATAGGGTTCTGGCTAGCACGTCAAAGTTACAGGCCCCACCCAGGCACTGCTATCCGAGTCCCTGCTCTGCCTCTTCATCCCAGCAGTGCATACAGAGCTCAGCCACATGGCTCCCTCCCCAGCAGGCAGCCCCAGCTGTCAGACCCTGTGGGCTTAACTTCAGCAGCACAGAACAATTCCACACAAGGTCACACCATCTGCCATCAGGAGCTGGGCCAGGCCAGACGAGAAGGCCCCTCCAGGCTTCTGGTCCCCTGAGCAACAATTCTGCAGGCAATTCTCCAGCTGAAGTTCCCTAGGCAACTGGTCAATATGGTCTTGGGCCTGCATCACCTGTCATGCCCCTGTGCCTATCCTGCTTCCTTCACATTCTTTTTTCCCTGGTAGATAGCTATGAACTGTACTGCACCCTTAAGGAGCTGAATGGTAGGCCCCAGAAAGATACACACATGTCCTAATGCCCCAGAACCTGTGATTCTTACCCTAAAATGTGGTAAGAGTGTGATTGCATTAAGATTTGGGACAGGAGGTGGCCATGCTGGATTGTCATGGTAACATAAAGATGGAGACTGAGTTGGGGTGATGCTGCCACAAGCTAAGGACCTCTGACAGTCCCCGGAGGCTCCAGAAGAAGTACCACCCTCGCCGACACCTTGAGCTCAGCCCAAGGAAACCAACTTCAGACTTCCAGCCTTGAAAACTGTGAGAGAATTAAATTCTGTCATTTTAAGCCATCTACTGTGTAGTCATTTGCTCTAGCACCCACAGAAAACCATCACTCCATCATCCTCCCAGACCAGTAACTACAACCACGCCCAAACCCAGTCTTGTGACACATTCAAAAGCAAAACCTCATCCTAGGGCACATGGGATGCATCCATATCCAGAGCTGAATGATACCTTTCTTCAGACATAAAGGTGCCCATATGTGAATACTTCAAAAAGTGTGTGGAAAAATGGAATTCCAAAAGAAGTTTATGTTGCCACAAAAACATTTTGAAACCCATGCTTAGTTTTTTCTTCATTATATGCATTATCTGAAGAGCCCTCTTATGCAAAATTTCTCAATTTCTTGCACCAAAATAAGTTTATTCCTTAATTCCATTCCTGCAAACTTTTTGGAGAACCCTTGTAAGTCTTTGAACACCTGCCTGAGTTCTACAACCCTGCTCCTAAATCCTCTCTCAGAACTTCGGCACCATGATTCTGTGCCCCATTTGAGGCTAATCTCAAGAGTACTCCAGAAGGATCTGTGCCCCGCCTTCCCATCCAGCTGGAAGCTGCCTGAGGATGGTGGTGACAGCGTGGACTCTGTGTTTACCATAGCAACCAGCTGGGCACAGAGCAGAGGCCAGAAAATGTTCTTGCTGACAATAATGATTGCATCCTTTGAGCCTTTTCACTTGAGCTGTCCATACACCATACTGCCCACATGGATGATGAACATGAAGAAGTTCATGGAAAAGGGCCAATCCTGTGGTCCAGAGAACTAAATTGCCACTGGTGATGCTTGTATCCCATATTGTAGTTCTAGTTCAAATCCCAACTGCTCTTCTTCTGAACCACTTCCTTCCTAATGTACCTGTGTAAAGTGACAGACAATAGCCCAAGTCGTTGAACCCTGCCACACAGGTGGGAGATCCAGATGGATCACACTGTGGCAGTCCTTTGGGACAGATGAACCTATGTATAGAAGATTTCTCGCTCTCTCCTTCTCTCCCTGTCTCTATCGCTCTGCTTCTCCAATAAGAAAAACACATATATTTTTTTAAAAACTGAAAGGTTTGTAGAAAATAAAATGAAAAGTTTTGAAATGTCTTGACAGAAAAAAGTTTGGAATCCATGTGTCCGCCAAGATTTCAAGGTACTGGCGAAAACTTCTGCATAGATTTCAAAGTGTTTTTGTACTGCAACAAACTCATGCTTTAATTCCACTTCTCCACAAATTTTCTGAAGCACTCTTGCATAGAACATAACCCCTTCCCTAGGAGCAGTGTCTTTCCCTCAGTGGCCAGGAGACAACAACGTTGATGCTAACGTGACTTAGCCACATTCAAGTTAGCAGCGTAAACTCTCAGCCCCTGCCCTTTGGCCTGCAAGACTGGCTACATGATTTGCAAGACCCACAGCAAAATGAAAACATGGGGTTCCCTGTTTTTAAAAATTAGTAATCATCACGAGACAAGAAGAGGGGGTGGTTATCTGGTCTAAGGGGACTCTCATGTCCCACATCAAAATGTCTGTGTTTCCTTGTTTCATTCCTGTCTCTGGCTCCTGACTTCAAGTTCTTACCAGTGCAGACCCTGGGAAGCAATAATGATGATGGCTCAGAGAGTCAATTTCCTGCCACCCATGTGGGACACCTGGATGGAATTTCCAGCTCCTCATTTCAGCCTGCCCTGTAATTGAATGCAGGCCTTCCATTGCAGGTGGCAGAAAGCCAAAGCACTTGAATTACCGTCTGCTGCCTCCCAAGGAGTGCACTGGCTGCTAAAATTGAAAACAGATGCAGGACTTGAACCCAGGCCTTCTCACCTGTGGTTTCCCATTGCTCCAAACGACTACCAGACATTCAGTATGGTGGTTAGAACACTGCTTGGAGTGCTTGCTTTCCATCTCTAAGTGCCAAGCTTTGTGTCCCAGTTCCAC